AAAGACCCCAAAGAAAAGTAGCCAGTTTCTTGGCTAAAACTCACAATGTCCTTGGGCCTCTTAGCAACATACTCCATTCCAAAGGCCAAAAATGTCAAAAGTATTTGGAAGCTTTTATCTAATCCTTAAAAGATTTTAGGGTTACCACTTCAGAGGTGGGGGATGTTAGAGTAGCAAAAAACCCATAAAAAAATAAAAGAAGAAAGAGTACATGAAGTTACCAGAAAAAAATGATGGGGAGATATGGGAGGAGTTGGAGGGGAGTGGGCATGGATTTGATCAAAACACCTTATATACATGTATGAAATTCTCAAATTATTATTTTTTAAATGCCTTTCAGCCCCTACCTAGAGCTACCGAACCAGGACCTACACTTTAACAAGACCTTCAGGGGATTTCTGTATTGTCTCTAAAGACCCCAGTCTTTCTCTGCTGTCTGCCTTTGAAGCCTGCTGTGGTGCTCATAGCACAAGGCTTCCCAGGGCTGTGCTGTCCTTGTCAGGTTTATTGGATGCTATTTTATATAACTCTTGACTGTTTGTCTTGAAGCAAGCTGTAGAGTTTTCAGTTCAGCTCTTGTAGTTGGACCATAAGTAACTTTTTTTGTTTGTTTTTGGTATGTGTGTGTGTATGTGGGGGGAGGGGCCCTCAAGTGATTGTAAAACAGCCTAGTTGGGGATTGTGTGTGTGTGTGTGTGTGTGTGTGTGTGTGTGTGTGTGTATTGCTTGTATATATGTTAGTGTACCTAGTCTTGTGCAATGCCCGAGGAGGTCAGAAGAAGGTCTTGGATCCCCTGGAACTGGGGGACAATTAGCCACCATGTGGGTTCTGGGATTTGATCCCAGGTCTTCTGCAAGAGCAACCAGTGCTCTTAACAGCTGAACCATCTCTGCAGCCCCTAGTTGGGGGATATTTTTTCAGTGTAGTTCTATTCTTTATTCAGATTCCTCCTCAGGACCTTGCCTAACACTCTTAACCCAACCCCCTGGCTGTTGAATACTGAGATTATTTTGTTTCCAAAACAGGAATGTATGAGCAATGATTTTTGTGCAAGCAGGTGCAGTTTGGGTCAAGTGTGGTGTGTGATACAGCAGTGGTTGGTATTGACCTGGCCTGGGGCTGATTGAAATGTACTAACTTACTTGCTGGCATGCTGATCAATTATGGAGATACTTTCTGCAAACTAGTAAATTCTTTCTTAAATAGGTTAAAGACTTAATATGCAGTCTCTGGTGTGAATTTTTTACTATAAAAGTATATTTTAGCATAAACCTGTGATCACCTTGAAATGACCCTGAATATAGAACTGGAATATGTGCCCTCAGACTGAGTTCTGTGAACAGGTGCAACTGTTTCAAGACTTGACATGCCCTAGGCATGATCCTCAGACCAGCACAGCAGAAGACTGGACTATATATGAACGACAGCAAAGATGAGTGTGATGGGCACTAAGAAAGTAGATGAGTGCAGTGTTATTTTGGTTCTTTTTTACCCTTGTTACTTTATACTGTTGGTGGCAGCGTAGTTGAGTTTTTGAGGGTTTGTCATAATCTATATTTAAAAGTAACCCAAATCAAGGCTTTGAAGTGTCATTTTTATAAAGTTTCAATGTTGTTTTTAATGTATTGCAGATAACATGGATTTCCTTTTTCCGTAGGCTCAAAGTTTAACTCCCCAGGACTACAATCTGAGGTGGTCAGGCCTTTTGGTGACAGTGGGCGAAGTCCTGGAGAAGAGCTTGCTGAATGTCAGCCGGACTGATTGGCATCTGGCCTTCACTGGCATGTCTCGCCGACAGATGATCTACAGTGCAGCCAAGGCCATAGCAGGCATGTATAAGCAGCGCCTACCACCCAAGCCCATGTGAGACCTGCCGGGATAGGCGACTCTCCTGCACCTGCCGCTCCGCCTCAGAAGATACTGTACCTTAGATTGAAGAGCCTCAGTGAATTCAACAGTTTTTACAATTGTCTGTAGGCTTCAGTCCTTTTTTTTTAAAAAAAAAAAAATAAAAGCACAGTATCATTCCAGTAGAATAAAAGAAATAGACTCTTTTTTAGTCATTTATGATTTCATACATCATAGTTCTTAAAAAATATACACAAATGTACTTAATGGCACAATTTAATATACCAGCTTTATAAAGTGGAAATTTGATGATGAAACACATTTGATGATTTATACTTGACTCTTTTGGTTTTTTAAAGAATACCTAATTAAGGTACGGGTGTGTTGCTGCGTCTGTAAAAGCATTGCTTCTTTCTGTTGTTTGTATGTGCACATGTTCTCAGGTTTGATGGCGAGCAGTGGCGTGCTGAGTTTACCTTAACACGGACCTGTAGGGGGATGTTGCACAATTCTGTGTGTTTTATAGAATATTGGCCAAAATAATGGAATAGATCTTTTTTCGTTTGTCATGTACATGGAGCATCTGGAAATTACACTTGTTTCTCTTTTGTTTAAATTTCGGCATTTTACAGATTTATACTATAAACGTTGGGAAATACATGTTATTTTTTCATTGCTGTATGAGAACTAAAGGGCAGGTGATCTGCATTCCAGATCGGAGGCATCCATTTTATTTTTGTATAAAACCAGTCGGCACTTCCAGGAAGCGGCTCTCACAATACTCACCACAGTCACGCCCTCCGGTAAGAAAGATCTGGGAGAGGTATTACCTTGTTTATGGAATGCTGTGTGTATTCTTTAAATTAAGGCTACTTCTTTCTTTTTTTTAAAAAAAAACACTTTTTAATCTTTGAGAATTTCATGCAACATATTTTGGTCATACTCACTTCCACTGTCTCCCTAACTCTCCCCAGATCGACTCCCCCAACTTCATGTCCAATTTATGCTACCCATCTGCTCGTGGGTGTGGGGCCATCCACTGGAGTGGGGGCCACACCCTTAAAACCATCCCCCTTCCCCATAAGCCATCCCCTTCAGTAACTCCTCAGTTTGGGATGTGGGCCCCGAGCCCCTCTCCTCAAGGCTGGAATGTTGACTGGCTTGATCTTAGGTTTAAGGTTATTTCTTAGTTTGCCTTAGGCACAGCTTTTCTTTGTGCCCTTCTGCCTTTATTTTTTACGGACATTTTCAAAGGAAGTATTTTATATTCTCTCTCGTTATTTAGCCCATTGTATTTAGTGAAAGCTTTTCCTCCCTGAAATAATATATTTTACCATTTTTGGATTTATATAACTCAAAAATTAACTTTTTTCTTCTACAGTTGAACTCTATGCAAATTCAAATAACTGAAAACAGTTTTGTATTTTAGTGCATGTAGTTTTTTTTTTCTATTCCTCTTCTATATGATTCTGTGTATGTGAAGAATTAGTAAGTCTTGGCAGTTTTATAAAAATTCTGATAGTCTCATCCCCCGTGGACCTCACACATGAAGTGTGTTTTGTAATAATGTTGGCTTGAGTAGTTATTTCATTTCTGCCCCTTTTTACAAGAGGATGAGAATTGCTGGTTCTGGAATGGGTGTGTATTAATCTCCAGGCACTGTGTATGACAGTTAAGTGAGAGACAGAGGCGCTGTGGCTGTGGTGACCATGGCACTTTTTATTCCTCCTTTGTGACTGAAAAACAGACCTTTCTCTTCCAACTGCTGCTATCCTTTGTTTTAAGATGCTGTCTGTTGCATCTGGGGATGTAGATCAGTGGTGGAGCACAGCATATGTCAGGCCTTAGGCTCAATCCCCTGTATCAGAGAAGAAGGGAGAGAGGGAGGGAGGGAAGGAGTGTGGTGACCATGGCACTTTTTATTCCTCCTTTGTGACTGAAAAACAGACCTTTCTCTTCCAACTGCTGCTATCCTTTGTTTTAAGATGCTGTCTGTTGCATCTGGGGATGTAGATCAGTGGTGGAGCACAGCATATGTCAGGCCTTAGGCTCAATCCCCTGTATCAGAGAAGAAGGGAGAGAAGGAGGGAGGGAAGGAGGAAGGGAGGGAGGGAGAGGAAGGAAAGTCTTTTCTAACTATTGATTGGGGCATTGTCTATGTGACAGAAACTCTGTTTTATTGTACTCTAAAGGCAATTACAACAATTCTTAAAATATTTTTGCTACTTTCTCCTATATTCAGGGGCATTTTACAGATCCTGAAAATACCCTGCCTTTTTCCCATTTTCTTTAATCTTGTCTACCTTAGTTAAGGATCTGGGGGAGTCATTCTAGTAAAATCACAAGTCATCACTGACATCTCATTGGGGAGGCTTTCCTGGAGTCACAGGTATGGCCCGGTTGATTCTGAATAACTGTAACCTAGTCAGCCTTCTGCTCTGGAAGGTGAGAGGGCAGGCACAAGAGGGTAATGTGTGATCCAGAATTCTCTTTGGACTCGGCTCTGCTTCCCTCCCTAACCTCCTTTGTCATCCTGGGATTCCTCTGGTATGCACTGCTCTCACCCAGTGGGAGTGCAGCCAGGACTCTTAGTGGGGAGTCTGAGGCCATGGTCCTGACCTGTGTGTCCATCCCCTGTGCCCCCTTTCTTCCTGCCCATCCCCCTGTAACTCCCATGCTGACATTTTTAGAGGGGTTATTGGTGGCTATTTATTGGTTTGG